TATATATATATATATATAAGATTTAAGAAACTGCATATATTTCTATATATTGGTCTCTATAAAAAAATATTAAAATAATATTTAAAATAGAGCGATGAGTGATTCTGGCTTTTTCCAATATATATATATATATATATATATATATATATATATGTGTGTGTGTGTGTGTGTGTGTGTGTGTGTGTGTGTGTGTGTGGTAAACGATATATACGTTTTTATATCATTTATTTAGAACAAGTTTAAGAAAACCATTTTTGTTAAAAGTACTTCTGAAACAGTAAAAGACTTAATTAATACAAAAAATAGTAATATGCTAGAACTTGAAAGTGGAATTTACTCTATTACCTGTAATGATTGTCATAATGAATACATAGGAGAAACCTCGAGGAATTCAAATAAAATATCATATGAATAAAAAGAGGTATTTTACAAAACAACAAACCCAGTGCATTTGTTGCCCACCGTAAAATAGTGAGATAATAATTTCGATAAAAAAATTGACTTAAATGAAAAAAGAAAACAATTTATTAATATGAAAATGTGCTATATATTGTTATGAGTTAAAGATCAAATGCGGGTTCTGTTTTCTCTTAATCTCAGTTTAAATCGAAGCTTTAATAAAACTGAAACAATGATATAGGTTTCGTAGTTTTTCTTTTTTTTACTTATCTCTCTCTCTCTGTGTGTGTGTGTGTGTGTGTGTGTGTGTGTGTATAGGTGCGTCTAGTTTTCTCCTCATCCTTGGGGAGATTGTCCAGCATTTACTGCTATATAAGAGGTCGTATAACACACAGCAATCAAGCACTCTTTTTTTTGTTTCTAATGATTTTTTAAAAAAATTTTCTACGTGTGTCCAGAAGGCAGGTTCCGTTGGTAGTAACCTCGAACCCCCCAACATTTTTGTTACAAATTAAACTAGGCACAACTGACTATTAAAGGATAAAATGTTTCTGAGGATTTTGACATCAGTCTGGGATCTATCTATATTTCTTTTCTTTTTCTTCTTCTAAATCCGTGAATTTGTTTTGCTGATGCTAAGTCTTTTTTTTATCCCTAATGTTGAATGTGTTAAAATTTTTCAACTTTTTAACAAGAAAAATCTTAGGTTGATGTCAAAAATCACCGCAAAACATTGTTGATTTATTTAAGATGGAATGATCAATTATGATATGTCTCTAATTTGTATTTAGCTACATTGTGTTTATTTTGAATTGTTCACCTATACTAAATAAGATCCATTATTGTAGATGATTAGGTTACACTAAATTTGTATTTTATATGAATACTACCTTAAGAAAATTGAGATGATGTAACAAATAGGTGGCCTATATCAGAAAATTCGGGTGGGGCATGAAACCCTCAACCGGCTTTTTTTAGTATGATATAAAATTTTTGAAAAAGGGTATTATATATAGGAAAGGTAACGTTAAAGATTTCTCCTTGGGTTTCTCGAAACTTTATGGCTCATCGCTAAAATAAGTAAGTAAATAAAAGAAAAAGAAAACTCTATAGGAATGATCTATTATGATATATCTCTAATCTAAAAGCAACAAAAATAGAAGTGAAAATAAATTTGTTTTGCTGATGCTAAGTCCCGGAAAAAAACACTATATAAAATTTACTATTTTTTCCTCCTAATTTTGAATGTGTAAAAAATTCAACCTTTTAACAAGAAAAATCACTTGTTGATGTTAAAAATTGCCACAAAACACTGCTGATTTATTTAAGATGGTTTAGTTTTGTTTGTTTTGTTTTTATGGCACATCAACCTCAATGGGTTATTCAATGCCAGCAAAATTTTCATTATTGGTAATATTTTTTTTTTTCAAAAATCTATTTCTATAAGAATTTTCCTTTGCTGGTAATATTCTTTTTTCAAAAAATATATTGCTGGTAATATTTGTTTTTCAAAAATGTATTGCTGGTAATAATCTTTTTACAAATTATTTCTGGTATTAAAACCTATTTTTACACTTTCATAGTGTTTTGACACGAGTTTGGGGATTAACTATTTGCCCATAGCTGGGACCCTAACAGGTGCTACCACCCCAGGTCAGGGTGGACCTGGGAACATCAACAATTAAGAGGTGGTTCCACGCTCCTCAAAACCTCCTGATCAGAGGCCTTGCTGTTGGACGTAGTTTATCGTCTTACCCAGGAAGGATTCAAGATGGAATGATCTATTATGACATGTCTCTAATATGTATTTAGATACCTTGTATTTATTTTCAATTTTTCCAGTTGAATTATTTACCTATATTGCATATGATCCATTATTTTACACAATTAGGTTCTAATATGAAATTCGTATTTTGAATACTAGCTTATGAAAATTGAGATGAAGTGGAGTGTGGGGAGCCGTATCGTAGATTTGATTTTGGGGTATTATAGGTTCGGGGTGGACCGACGTGACCCTTGCACCGGCCCTGGCAAATCCACTCTGAAGGTCATGGGCGCGTGTAGTGAGGGCAACATCATGGCTAGGTATCGAATGAGGTGTTTTTATTTTAATTTTCGAGGATGAGACAGACAATCCGACTTGGAAGTCACATTCAGATGCCTGGGAACACCCTCAATGAGGGAGCATCTGAAAAGATTGGGTTGCCTGATCTGTAGGTATTCATAAATCGACCCCCCCTTACAAGGTTAGACACTGTTTTTTTATCGAAACCTCTCATCATATCATTTGACTGCAATGCAAGTGCCTGATATATTCTTTTCAGACTGGGTGTAATGATGCAATGGTTTTGGATAATTCTAAACCAGCATCACATTACCGGCATCTTCTACTCTCACTCAATAATAATAATAATAATAATAATAATAATAATAATAATAATAATTAAAAAACTTTCAAAATATGAGGACTTTGAAATCGGAATTTTAAAAATGAGGCACATGGGAATATCAACAATCCCTATTGTAATTGGTTCGAGCTTCGTATATATATATATATATATATATATATATATATATATATATATATATATAGATAGATAGATAGATACAAAGATAGTGATGAAAAGTTAAAACGATGGATGGATGGATGGATAGATTTAGAGTGGAAATATATATATATATATATAATCTTTCTTTTATATGTGTATATATATATATATATATATATATATATATATATATATATATATATATATGTATGTATGTATGTATAGAGATAGATAGATAGATAGATAGATAGATAGATAGATAGATAGATAGATAGATAGATAGATAATAAAAAAATGTAAAATCAATGAATGGGTAGATTCAAAAGAGTGATATATATATGTATATATATATATATCACTTTTTGAATATATATATATATATATATATATATATATATAGATAGATAGATAGATAGATAGATAGATAATGAAAATGTTTAATCAATGAATGGTTAGATTCAAAAAGTTGATATATATATATATATATATATATATATATATATATATATATATACATATATATATATATATATATATATATATATATATATATATATATATATATATATATATATATATATTCACATATAGCAATCATTAATTAAGATACAACAATTAATCAACAGTCGAGATATTTTTTATTAAATGGTTCTGTTTAATTCTGGTGAATAACAATAAAATGCTATTGTAAACAATCGTAAATTAATTACCAATACTTTTCAAACTGCAAGTCACCTGCTTTAATGCTTTGTTTTTATTATTATAAAGAACTGTTGCGTGACATTATTGCCATTCTGTGTATATTAGCTACTTTAACTCATTAGCTTATGACTCTATCACTATAGTGGCTTTATTTTAATAACAAACTTAAAAAAACATTACTTTTGTTGAAGAATTCACTCATTAAATAAAATTGCTTCATGGACCCCTCTGGGATTAGGTGTCTTAAGCTTTATTAGTTTTTTGTAGACCCCCCCCCCCCACTGGGTGGAGTCATCGGTAGCCTTCAAATGTGTTCATGAAATAAGTTTAGGAAAAAAAAATAGCTTCATGTCTCGCATCTCTCGCCTGTGGAACTCCCTTCCCTATTCCATTTTCCCTGAGAGCTATAATCTCCAACTATTCAAATGTAATGTCAATCGACATCTCCAGTTGCCTTGATCTATCCACTATCCTTCTCCTCATCCTTTCCTCTATCACTCCTATCTGATCTTGCTCCAAATTTTCTGTAACCCCTTGCGTCTTCGTGGCTTCTCGCCCTGCTTGGGGTGAAACGCTTAAAAAAAAAACAAAATAAAATAAAATAAAAATAAAAATAATACTAAATAAAACTTATAAGCTCTCGGCGCAGAAAGTAGAAGCGACGAAGCGAGTTCAAATCCCCACCCAGTTTGTATTCACTTTCATACTAATGCCTTTAGAGGGGAATGGTTTCGTCCCTTCAGCCAACCAGCTTTGAGTTTTCATGCAATAATAATAATAATAATAATAATAATAATAATAATAATAATAATAATAATAGAACATTTCACCAATCCCTGTTGCTGACGCTTGCTCAGGAATATTTGTGTTTGTTCAACACCCACAGAGCCCACTATTAGTTACAGCTTCTGGGAGAGATCGCGTCTAAATAATGAGAAAAAAAATGTAAAAGCTTCTTTGATGTATAGCGAACAAATTGCCCTTTTAGCTGAGTACATTTGGAAGACACCTCTAAGATTTCCCTAATATATTTAAAAGATACGCATCAATGGAATAAATATCTTTCGATATAGGAGGGAGGTATTCATAAAGTTCACTTTGTCTACCTCTGGCAAAGAAGTTTGGATTACGAGTGTTTGTGTAAATACATTTACATGACAAATAGCAGGTGTGCTTACATATAGTTACAGGCGTTTGTTCTGACCCTTGCTTCGTAATTATGCGCCGTTGTACAAAAGTCACTCCATATCGACGTAATTTTGCTTGTATATGTACATGTGTCCGTGACGGAAGTACGAGTAACAACTGAAAATAAGAAAGACAAACAAGATGTTTAAATAATAGAGTAAAATGCCCAAATTTTCTCTATTGTATGCACCACCAGAGCGCTGAAAGCAACGGCCCAATACGTTTTTTTCCTTAAATGCTGCCAGTCATTCCTGCTTTTCTTCTACTGTATCGCTTTGCCCCTTTATTTTTATTCGATTTCTTCTTCTTTGTCTATACCTTCTCCCTCCTTGTTTTCCCTACCTTTTTACATCTTTCTTCTTCTTCTTCTTCTTTATTAGATTTCTTCTTCTTTGTCTATACCTTCTCCCTCCTTGTTTTCCCAACCTTTTTACCTCTTCTTCTTCTTCTTCCTCTTCTTCTTCTTCTTCTTCTTTATTAGATTTCTTCTTCTTTGTCTATACCTTCTCCCTCCTTGTTTTCCCAACCTTTTTAACTCGTTCTTCTTCTTCTTCTTCTTCTTCTTCTTCTTCTTCTTCTTCTTTCTTTATTCGATTTCTTCTTCTTTGTCTATACCTTCTCCCTCCTTGTTTCCCTACCTTTTTATCTCTTTCTTCTTCTTCTTCTTCTTTGTCTAGGCCTCTCCCCTCTCCTTTATATCTTTTCATCCTCCTCCTCTTCTTCGTTTTTATTCGATTCCTTCTCCTTTGTTTATACCTCCTCCCTCCTTGCTTTCCCTTATTTCTCCTCCTTATTCCTTAACTCCTCCTCATCCTACTCCCATCCCTCTGCTTCCTACTCCTCCTACCCCCCCCCCAGTAAATTTCTAGATTCTAAATCTTCATAGCAATCAACTCTTCTCAAATAGATGGACAAAATTGAAACCATTGAAATCTTAAGATTTTACAAGTACGCGCATTTACAAATCCGCTTAGCCGACAGGCCTTCACGAGTGGAAGAGTGCTTGAAAGATAGGAGCTATTCTTTGCAAAAAACATCAAAGTCTTGCTTCATTGTAGTTTGAAGCGAAAAGTAACAGCTTTCTCTCTCTCTCTCTCTCTCTCTCTCTCGCGCGCGCGCTGTTCAGGAGTTTGACATTTCGAGTTTTCTGAATTATCTATCTTTGGGTATGGAGGAAAAGGGCTGGAAAAGCAAGAATGACCAGAACATGTGTCGCTTCGGGGCACGTGTTGTCCATTGTTACACAGACCCTTTACCCTCTTCGCGAACGGCTAGATTTTGGCCACTTTTACTCAGTGTATTAACGAGACTGACACAATTGTCTCCCATTTTTTGTCAAGAACGGTGAATTACGTAAAAGTTGTTTACAGGCATAAAATCAATTCAATGTAATGACAAGAGAAACAGTTTTATTAGAGGTGTTTTTTTTTTCTGTGTAGAATGGATATATTTATCTCCTTTGTAATATTAATCACTTTGTCTATGAATATACATGCCTACTCCATGAATGTATTTCTCTGTAAATAATAAAAAAAACACACACAAAAACGTCTTACATAGGCTACACAACAACCACACTCTCACAAAGTGTCACCTGCCATCTATAGTGCTATCAATAATAAGCAACATAAGGATCATAGTAACATTAGACGGCTACTCACAAAAAAACACCAAAATACTAGTAAAATCAAATAGTAAAACAAACATGATCATTACGTCTCATCCATTACTTCCACTATGTCACAACACTCTTCCATTACGTCACAAAACTCTTCCACTACGTCACAACACTCTTCAACTACGTCACAACACTCTTCCACTATGTCACAATACTCACAAGATCTACGAAATTAACGATTGTCTCTACCTACCCTGATGACATAAGAAAGTCGAAAGCTTGGACCATATCAGACATCGGACAATTTCTGACAGAATTTCCTCCATGATTGAGAATGCGTATTCGTAATTTGGAAAGGTCAACACAAAATATCTGTTGTCTTTAATAATATTTAACTTAAAGAACATTAGCTGCCTAAAAACATAGAAAAGCCATAATAGTAAATATTATATTATTTAGAGATTCTTGATAAAATACAAATAAAAATGTGCAATGTTATTAGTCCTGACCTGGCATCTCGGCTTCAGTCGCTATCCATCGCCTTAACGTAGCTTTCCTGTGCCCTATCTAGAAATATTTTCATGGTAAATGTCCTGATGAACTTTCCTGTATGGTATTTTATGAACTTATGCGCTGTATTAGATTGGTCACAAGGCCTCATCATATTACAGATGTAATGGCTAGATGTAACCGTAATTTCTATGTTGACAGTTTCTTCTATAGAACTTTCTGTTTGTGGAAATCACTTCCGACTCCATGCTTTCCAGCCAACTTTGATCTTCAAAAATTTAAATGTAATGCCAATCGTTATCTACTATCTTCTTGATTACTCTTCTGTTGTCCTTGTTTCCTAATAATGTTCCTCATTTTGTCTTATTTTTTCATACTCAGTAACCCCCTTGTATCTTCGTAGCTTTATTGCCTTGCTTGGGGTGAAATATTTATGGAACTATCGACCATCGTTTTGCTTTCCGGTCAACTTTAATCTTCAATAATTTAAATGCAATGTCAATCTTTTATTGTTCTCTCTCCGTAATAATGTTTTTCTTTTCAAATTTTGCCAAACTTAGTAACTCCTTCCGTCTTAGTGGCTTTAATGTCTTGCTTGGGATGAAAAAAACAACAAAAAAAATTGGATATCATCATCATAATTCACTTTCAAACACTGTAACCCCCTGCATACTAGTGACATTCCCGCCTTGCTTGAAATGATTATATATATATATATATATATATATATATATATATATATATAATCATTTCTGTAGTTCACTGCTACCAGCAAGGAAAATATTTCTCCTCCCGAAGATAGATGGCCATTTTCGGTCGAAACTAGTCGAGGAATCTAAATGGAATAATAATAAAAAAACGAAAGAATATTAATCTACAACCCAGTGTGCCCAAAGATTTTAATTTTTTTTTTTATTGTTCAATATATATATATATATATATATATATATATATATATATAAATTTTTTGTTTAAGCGTTATTTTTATGGATACTCGTATTCGAGTAGAAGCTTTGTTCTTTTGGGTTTTTTTAATTAAACAGTATGTTTTTATCCAACTACATAAATATGCATCCACCGGCAGGATTCGAACCTACACGCCATACATAGGAAACGGTCATTAGATCTGTCGTGCCTGACAGTTTCGCCACGTAGAACTTACGGTCAAACAAACCCCGAATAGTACCTTGTGAACAAACATTTCTCTGCTGAATCTCAAAACATCCGTATCTGCTCTATCGTATACTAACGTGAAGACATTAAATCCGACATATTGTTATTTTAAATTTATTTTCTTTAAATATTATTTTTTTTATGGATACTCATAATCAAGTAGAAACTTTGTTTTTTAATTAAACAGTATTTTTTTTATATCCAGCTACATCTACCGGCCTGAATATTCGAGAGATCTTCGCGCCTTTATACCCTATGGGCAACCACCAATGGGTCTTAGGTGCCTACCGCTCGGGCACGTAAGACTTCCGGCCAAACAAAGCCCAAATAGTGCTTTTTAAACATACGCTCTCTACTAATTCTCGAAACATTCATGTCTACTCTGTATCTTATCATAACATAAACAAAAGAATTTATTTTTAAGAAATGGATTAAATCCGAAATATTGTTATTTTTAATTGATCTTGTTTCAAGTTATTTTTACTTAGACACTGTTTTTTAATTAAACAGTATTTGGATCCAACTATGTCTATCCGCCAAAATTTCC